ATTGTACTAAGATATCTATCATATATTTGCCCGTTTCCGGAATTCTGAAATCTTCTTCTTTCCTTAAAGATTTACTTGAAATAAAAGTTTTGTATAACCATCTATATAAGTTTTTGAACTTAATTTGAATAATTAATAATAATTATCCTGTGATAATTAGGAGTTGGAAAAAAGTAACCTTTACTCTAAGATTTAAGATAAAACGTAGGAATTTGACCAAAATATGTAAGAATGAATTAAAGAAACCAATTAAGAAATCTTGTATAAATTAACTCACTTTCAAAGCAGAACATTTCAGAAAAATAGCAGTTAATATGTGATATAAGGGCTGTTTTACTTCATGAGGTTCTAAGATCTTTTGTACATGCTGCTGTCAAACTGATTTTTTTTCATATTATAAACAACCTATAAAATACAGTGAAAGTACATTTCACTGCTGTTCTTGAGATAGAGACTGAGAACCAGGTTGTAAAAATCTTTAGGTGGTGAAATTCTTTTCTAAAATGTTGTTTGGAACAGACTATTTTTGTAGTGCACATAATTGTGGCCTGTCAGGAAAAAACACAAAACTACAATTTCAAAATTCAGTCAGTCATTGGACACCAAACAGCTCAGTGTCTTTCTTAGGAACAGCTGATGCTCACATGTGCAAGTACACAGTTGTAAATGTCGCAGAGCAATTAAAACAAATTGATTAACAAACAAAACTACTGTCAGATAGGTAAAGTACCACAAGTACAAATGCTGACACATGTGCAAATAAAGAAAAAGCTTTTGAGTATATAATATTAGATTGAGTCACACTGCTTATGGAGTAGTATATAAATAATACATGGGTTTGTGGGTTACAGTTAAAATATCATCCCAAGGAAAATACTGTTAGCCAAGGTGTTAGCCGAGGGATACAGTATCTTTAGGAGGGTTGATATTTTTACTGTTACTCACAAACGCTTGTGTGTTATTTATTTTATTTCCCGAACAGATACTGTAATCTATAATACTTTTATTTACATAATAAAACACTTGTCATGATTTTATACTGTTAAAAAGTGCTGTTGGCCTGTAACAGTATAAATCTCTTGGTACACTTGCTTTAACAATAAGAGTAACTCCCTGTGGAAATGAATATTTACAAAAAAGTGAGGGGTAATGCTATACATTAAATGTTGCAGAGAAAGCCTAGTTTTAAAAGTAAAACTACTGGCAGATATGTTAAATCACTAAAAGTATGAATGCTTTCATAAGCAAATACACAAAGCTGTTTGGTTTACACTGGTTATGGAGTAGTATAGTTATATATTCAAAGCGACAGAGCTAATGACAAACATCAGAATATCTGAAATACAATGATGTGCTCTGTATATAATATATAACATCCAATCCATAGAGGAAATCAAACCAGTATCTTTTTTTTTTATAAATTTCAAGTTCCATTGCAAAAAAAATGGAAGAAACAAAACGAATAATATCGTGACTATTGATTACTTGATAGAATTTCAAATTTCTGTGCATAACTTATCTCATTTTAATGATTAACCTTTGTGAGAAAAGAATATTTAAATTAACTATATCATAATATAATACATTAATTGACACTGTTGTTTTAATTGACACTGTGGTTGTCATATTATTAACATACAAACTCAAAACTGGATATTTCATCAAAATTGAATATGATGTACTGTAATGAGGAAGTTGCTACATAAAAAACATACCAACATTTGTGCGTACAGTTGGTTTTGTCGGACCAAATATTAGGCGTACAGTAAGAAAACTGGAAATATTTTATATATTTTCGGATAGATATGGAAAACTACTCTTGTATATTGTTTTGTTTTCAAAAATAAACATGTTGGGACTTAAACTAATCGAATATATCGTTTTAAAACAACTGATACATTATTCGTTTGCATGTGCATATCAGGTTGACGGTTGAATTTGTAGCAACAAATACCTCAATAACTTCCTCAATTCTATAAAATTTAGTATTTTATCTTGACAATCATGCACAATTATAATTAAGTTCTGATCAGCATGCACAATGCTATTCTTCAAAAAATTACAAAAGACAACAAATATTTGGAAAAAAAACATGCTCAAACCCACTTTCGTTTTCGCTCCCATCCGCCATAAAGGCGTATCGCATGAATTCACCTCGCTTAAAGGAGTATCGCACCGCTATACGTTCGACCCCCTGGGTTGTAGTATCATATTCACTGGCTAAATTGGATTTTCCCAGCATAAAAATAGATTGAGACTCATATTCAATGGCCACATATCGTAGACTGTTAATTACGCGTGATTATCGAAAAAATAATTGTTGCGTTTTGTTCTTTATGGTATATTTCTCAATTAAATTATCATTACTTTACTATTATAGTAAAACGTTACATCGCACAGATGAGTATAAATTTGAATTACTTTTGTATGCGCAACGTTAGCGTAGTTGTTGCTAGCCTTCCACGTGCGTCTTTTTTCCCTCGCTTCAACGAAACAGACAAAAGTTGTACGTGTATAAGGTTGTACTTTCTGTGATTTTTTAAAACAAATTATAGCCTATTCATATAATAAAACAATTATTGACTAATGTGCCATTAAATATGATTTGATATTCACCGGAAGAAAGTCATATTGACCTCGGCTATCGCCTCGGTCTATCGCCTTGGTCAATATGTCATCTGCCGGTGAATATAACATCATATTCAATGGCTCACTAGTCAATAATTGTATATCATCATATAAATTTTAATTTTAAGTCACTTAGAACATAATCAAGTATTTTATTGATACAATTTTTCATAATAATATATAAATGATACATTTTTTATCAATATTTGAAATGTTTTTTTGGAAAATGTGCCCATTTTAGACCTATCAACTTTAAGATATTTAAAGATATTGCTGCCAGGAAATAACGCTACTTAATTGCAGGCATCTGACACTGACAATACATCAAAATAATGATTATCAAAGCAATATTGTTATTGTCATTTTCACTAACCTTACCACAAATACAGCAGTAGATGGTGTTGTAGCTGATAAATTATAGATTTTGTTTCTTAAGAGTTATTTTTCAAATGATGCTAAGCTCCTGATTTTCCACAATGCCTCTCTAAGAGAACTAATTGGTGTAAAAGATATGTATATATATATTATGCGATTATTTAGAGCCCTGCTTGAGGTGGATTGAATTACTAACACAATGCCACGTTTTATAATTTAATGTTCCTTTTGTAGTTGAATACCACAAATGATATATAACATATGCACAGATTATCCTGACGTTAACAAATAGATATTAAAACAGTAACAAATCTTTCTGGTGAAAAGCCACAAAGACTGTCCAATTTTTTATCTTTACAAAACTTCTAAAAACGTTTTCGTTTTTTTTCGTTTTAAGATGACGAATATAATTTTAACACAAGTTTAATATCATTTACACATAAAAAATAATTGTCCTGAAATACTTAAGATGCAGGTTTTTTTAAACATGTAAATAATATGATTTCAATGCTATAAAATAAGCACTTTCCTTTTATTAGTTTTACAACTAATATAGTATAGTACATTAAACACAATTAATATTAATTATATATAAAAAAACAACAACAACAAAAAAAAAACAATTCTAACGATATCCATATGTCGCTCCCTTTTTCTACGAAAGCCTGTCTAAAGTTTCTTTTCATTATCCTTTCATTCATTTTGAGGTGAGTTTTTCAGGTGAAGTTGCTAATGACTATATACACATTTTTTTTAAAAAATTTATTCAAAAAAATATGGTAGTATCTATTCTAAAAAGGTGAATAATTCAATTCAAGAAAAATGTGTATATCAACTGTCTTAAAATACATAATACATTATTCATTTAACCTTTTTTATAAAAAAAACATGCAAAATGTTATTATAATTACTGTTTTAATCATTATTTGTGACTTATGATTTATAAATTACGACGTAGATAAACTATTTACTGCGGTCTTGATACAAAATGAGATATAGAAGTTACTGAGTTAAAATTATGTCAGTATTTTACTATGAATTACATAAAAACTAGTATTTATTCCTTATAACGTTATATTCAGTACTCATTGATTCAGGTCGTTGACGTCAAACCACCTGCCCCTCACCGCTGTGGGTTTGAATCCCCGACAGGAACATGTGAGGAAGCTATCCAGCTAGCTTACGGAACGTCGGTGATTCTACTCTGGTGTCCGTCCGTGCCTGAAATAATGCACGGAAGGGCACCTGTGGTCTTCCTCCACCAATAAAACTGGAACGTCGCCAAATGACCTATACTGTGTTATAATTATAACGGATCATATGAATGTCTTATTATTTCCAACTGTTACTTGATATTTGTCATAGATACAGTAAAAATGAAAGTTAAGAGCATTAGCGACTGGTTTCTTCCTTCACTGTAAGATTACGATAAACATGAGAACACAACATTCCTTTAGTAACAGATTGTATTTAGAAAAAATATACTCATGCAAAAACGTGAAATAAGTAGTAATTCATTTGTTTAACGTCTTTCATAAAGACACATTATTGGTTATGTTTTACTGATGATAATAATGATAATAAAATTGAATAGAAACTCCCATCCACAAGTGAAGAGAAAAGAAGCGTTCTAATAAGTTCTGGTAACAATACAAACAAATTTTACAGTAATAAAAGTTATCAGCAGAAGGGATATGAATTATCCACATGCGACTATGTTGTTTTTTTTTAATATATAGATATTATACATAATATCATCACCTATTCTTACTTTATAGTTAGATGTATTAAATATGATTGAAAATTATGTGGCAGTACAGTTTCATTTCAATTAATCATGATCACGATAATTAGTGTTACGGGCAGGCAAAAAGAGTGGTTGGGTTATCTTTAACTTCCCAACTTCATTCAGAATAGAAATAAAAAAAAACACTTTATATGATTGAATGTTAATGAATATGTAACTTAAGGCATAACGTACTATTAATTCATCAAAATTATCTGGAAGGCCATTCCCATTTCTGGAAAGGGGACTTGTTACAGAATTCAAGAGATACCTTTCCAGACTTATTTGCTGTCAAACACCGTACACCTTGCTTTATTAGACCACTTTTGTCGTCAAAACTCCATTTCAACTCTTGATTTGAGAGGATTTGTTCTTGTGTAGAGAAAGATAAACGGTTATTGTAAATATTACCTTTGAGCCACTGGCGATCTATTCGAATATTCATATTGTCTGTTAAAAGAAAGAATTGATTTACCTCGCTGCTACATGGATATGTTATTAATTCATAATCATCATCTATATTTGCCATATCTAAACAAAGATTAATGTCTGTGTTTAGTATATTTCCTTTCCTCAGAATATTTTCTGGAATAAAAATATTTGAAATTCTACGAATTTGGTCAATATAATGCTGATACGGTCTGCAATGATTATCCTCCTTTATTCTATATCTTTCAAGTAGATCGCCTGGATAAATTTCTTTTGTATTATTTCCTCTTTGCAGGGCCTCTAGGGCTAATTTTTGGATTTCACCTTCCATCCAAACAAGAATAAACCTTAGTTTATTTTTCTTAATATAATTCAATTCAGGATGTAATTTTTGCCACGGGGCATTTCTATATAGGTGTCCTATTATTGAGCAAGGGATCATTTCAACTCGTCCGCCACAAAGCCATACTTTCACAGATAATTCCATGTGCTCGTAGCCCCAAACTTCCATACCGGTATCAAATCCTCCAAGTTTCATGAAGTATTCCTTTCTCATGGCAGTCATCATGCCCGGGATGATGCCATATTCAATTGGAGCCACGCTACTATTTCTAGCTTTTCTATAAGAATTTGAGTATGTCAACCAATTCTCGCCAAGAGTGATTTGGTCAAAGGCGCATAATCGCTGATAATTTTCATCCAAAATATATTCAAAGTTTTCACTTGAAATGTGTCCAACGTTTGATGTCAACAATGCATTTGGTTCTTGGACAAGTCGATAAATAATTGGCTCTAGCCATCCTGGGTTCACTTCAATATGGCCATCAAGAACAATGAAATACTCAGAGGCCACCATCATGATTCCTCTTGTTCTAGCCATCGTCAAACCAAGTGGTTGTTCATTACGAATATGTTTGAGTTTTTGAGTATTTGCAACGTGTACATTTACAGCTAGTTTTAATTCCAAATTGACTGAGCCATCATCAACTAGAATGATTTCGTTTATGAGATTAATTGGAGATGTTTCAAGTATACTATAAATCGTTCTTAATAAACACGAAATTGGTTCGTCGCGGAATGTTATCACAATGCTTATTCCAGGTAAGTTGCCTGGATACCTTATTTTCTTGCATTCATCAGGTCGCAAATCTGAAAGAAGTCTTTTAATTCCAATGATGTCACTTAAATAAATGTTAACATCTGCTTGTGAAATATTGTCACGAAGTTCCATGTATCTTTTGTCATTTTCATCAATATGTATTAATTTATTCCCCGCACCTGGTCCTAAGTACTTGGGGAAAATAACCATTTCTTCCTTCTTTGCTGCACTTTCATTGCTCCTTAAATTTCTTTCATCGAAATAAGCTGCTTTGTGTTGAAATAGTGTAGTTGTGCTTTTATTTAACCTATTTACCCAGTGATTAAATAATAAAACACCTCCCATATAAAAGCAAACCAAGAATAGAACAATTATTTTCAAAGCTAAGGCACGACATTTTATCTTCATATCTTTTTCCGCCGCCTAACGAAGCTGGCTTTTACATAGCTATTTATTGTAAATGTAAAGTCGGTTCATCTTATTACATTACATTGCACAGCTGTCGTTTTGATCTTAATCATTGTTATAGTATTTCGGATAAAAGGCGGCCAATCATACGTCAAGCATACACATTACTTGAGATTGATTTGTTACCTGTATCATGTGTAGATTTTAACATAAATGTTGGTTATATGTATACAACTTTTATTAAATGGTTATAAACATTTCTCAATTGCCAAGAGTCAAACCAATGTAAAAGTATTATATTTGAAAAAAGAGCCACTTCTCGCCACTGTTATATAATCTTATAACTTTACGACAAATAATCCCACATAGACTTCACTGTTTGAATTTTTCCTGATAGAACTTTTCTTGTTTAGTTGTAGGTTAAGCAATAAATTTCGGCAAAATATGGGGATACCCTTTTTCTAATAGATAATCTTACTTATGGCATAATAAATTTTGCCCATTTTTCACTTCATGAACTGTAGTTGTCTTTAATGTTCTTCTCATTCTAGTACATATTATTCCGCTTATCGGCCAACAAATGCACATAATGACAAATAAAACATCAAAATATGTTAACATTATTCAGGTGTTTGTCGTCAATACTATGTTGTCGTTTTTGTGTTTCGTGTTTTCTTCTATTTCAAATAAACAACAAAAAAATTATGCAATAAGAAATTATTGTTTAAATGTATTTTCGGATGAACAGGGAACAATTTATACTTAAAGCATGTCAATTTTTTAAAATACTTGGTTCGGTAGTAAGCTTCATCATGTGGTAGGATTTTTAAGGAGGTCTAAATGTTCTTGTGATCTTGTATAACCTTTTTTAAATGTTTTAATATTGCATTTTCATAACAATTCAAAAAATTTCTCAAAAAAATTAGACTTATAAAGTATTAAATTTAAAAAAACAGTCAGTTCTCGTATAGTGTAATATGATTTTAGTGGTAATAACCAACTATCTTTTTTCCCATTAACTTAACTTTTGAATGTTTTCCTACTAGAATTTTCAATTTTTAATTGGTGATTAAGTCATAAAGAAATATAAGAATACAGTTTTTATAATAGATAATCATTCTTACTAACATAAGAAAATTTTGGCTTTAAAAAAACTGTTGGTAAACTTTAATTTTCCTCAATTTAGTAAATGTGGAGTAAATTCGCTTATCGTGCCACAATGCTGAAAGGGAGAATTCAACCTCAAAATATTAGCTAAAATTTAGTATCTTTGTTCTGTCATACAATGTTTTGGTATTTGGCTTTTTGGTGTTTCTGGTTACTTTCTATTTTCAAATAAACAAATAGAGCGTATACTAGTGTAAACAATCAATTCGAATAAAGTATAGTGCAAGTGCTGTCTTAAAGATGTATTTTGCTCATGAGACAGCAACATAATTACATTAAACTTCACATATAGCGAACACGGTTATAGCGAACTTCCGGTTATAAGGAACAAAATATTTTGGCCCGAATTTATCCCTTCTTTATTTAATGTAAAAAATTACGGTTACAGCGAACACGGTTATAAGGAATTATCGCTTATAAAGAACTAATTTTTTAGTCCCAATGCCATAAAAAGAACAGAAAATTACACTTTTATAACGAACTCCAAAATATCGGCTATCCGTAAACAGATCACGCATTTTCTACTTTCGTTTTCATAGGCACAGATTAAAACTTGGCCGAATGTAGCGGATATATTAGAAACAAATAATGACGATGACAGTCAATCTTCCGAAGACGAAATCTATTTAGATGATCTGCCGGTTGTGTCAAAAAAATGAAACTATTGATTGTTTGCACAAGATTAGGTCATACTTCGAGTCTAATGCACATGTTGAAGAAACAGTTTTTTAAAAGTTTATTGGATATTGAATTTAACCTGAAGTGTTGTAAACATTCCCAAACTAAAATTACCGACTTCTTCAAAGCAAAGTGATTATTTTTGTGTATGATACTGTATCGTTAATAAATAACAATATTGCATATATGGTACATATCATATAATTATCTTATAGATATATTTATACATAAAAATTATATTAAAAGAAACAACATTGCAATTATTCCTTTTTTTCTTTATTGAATCAATATAAGGGAGACAACAATAGCGAACCCAAGAGTTATTTCTCTTAATCAAATGCTCTTCTAAATGGAGGACGACGGTAAAAAATTAGTTCGTTATATGTAAAACTGTTCGCTATAAAAACTTCTGATACAAGGAACTAATTTGTTATATGCTTACAAGGAACTCCGGATATAAGGAACAGATTTTGAATGTCCGAATGCGTTCGTTATAAGCGGAGTTTACTGTATATTATAAATCAATGTCCATTTTTCTAGGATATAAAATCTCTCGGTACGGTAGATAAAAGCTTTGCATTACATGTAGGAGCAGTAGAGATTACTTTTAAGGTCGCAGACGATAACCCTAACATTTGTGTTCGTTTCTTTTATACTAAAACTGACAAATGATTACAAAATATGCTAAAGAAAATACTAAGAATACATGTATTTTAGCTCACATATTATTATAAATATACATGCATATAACAAAAGATAAATTTGGCTACAATACAGTATACAAACACTTAAATGTAACACTTATTATTTCCAATTGATAAGTGTGCAGTAATTTGTGGCATTAGCTCGTGAACCAGTGATGACTGGAAATGGCAAAGATCTTAAATTCAAAATTTAGCTAAAATTCATAACATAATTTGTTGCTGATTCACTTATGTCTTTGGTATTGGCTTATTTCTAAGGATGTTTTCAAATGGGTCAACAATATTATAAAATTATCTTAATACTTCGTAAAACTGAGAGTTAGTTACAGGTAACTGTGGTAAGATCAAGCGAATCTCTTTGATTATGGTTTTGAACACTTATAGTTAAGGCATTATCTAATGTTACTTTTGTCAGATTTTCCAAAGAGGGACTCAGCCACAGTTTATCCGACAGAGTGTGACATCAATTTCTTGGTGTTGTATAATATATAAGACTTTAAAAAGAGTCAGCTTCATGTCGTGTGACAGTCAAAATGTACCTAGTCGGAATTTGAGAACCATCTAAATTAAGTAATGGTGTAAGGAAGTAAGCTACAGCTGCAACTAGGTTGCAACAATTTTATTGTCTTGAATGAACGTTCTAACAGGACCTTTCCCACATTCATTAACTTACTAATGAAAGGAATGCAGCAATATGATGAAAGTATTTATATACATACACTCGTAATACTACAATACTGTTTGATGTATTTCATTTTCTCTTATCAAGTTTAAATATATCTACATCCATTGTTAATTCCTTCCAAATATGGCTTCAAATTCTTTATTTCAATTTGTATCGTTCAGAAGAATTAAGTTACCTTTAACCTCATATATGCTGGTAACTACATTAGGTAAATGTATCGTAACCTATTTCTGTCTGTTGACGTATCAAAATGACGTGCACAAAGATCACTAGGTTTTCCAAGTGTATCCTAACGCCATTTAATACTTGAAAGTATATCATTATTGTAACTAAAAACGTCAATATGGTGATGACATTTTGTGTCATATATCGAGAAATGTACAAGGGGTATATTAGGAAACTATGTACTATTGGAATCGACACATATTTATCTAAAGCATGGAATTTTGTTAGCCAAATATTGAAAGAAAACTCAAAAAGAAATATTACAAAATTATTATCAATTACCTATTATTAAGTTTGGAAATCAGTTGAGACAGAAGTTAAGATAATGTTGCTTTGAAGACAAAATGTGAATGAAGGTCAAGTATAAAAATCCTTTTACATAAAATTTAGAAATATGTAAGAAAAATAAAAATAAAAAAAAAACACACTTTCTTTGCAATGATATATAAATATTTCATTATCATATAAAGGTTTGTTTATAATCCACTTGGCAACATATATACCGTGTAACATGACTATAAGAGAAAATAATGCAGGTTTACTGTTGCAACATTGACATTTAAAACACAATATCGCTCCAAATTGACAGAAAAAGTCTAGAAATGGCAAAATTCTCTATAAGGAAATTGTATTTGTGTACAATAGGAGGGATTCAGGATAACAGTTACAATGTAGAAGAAATTGATACATTTTTAGGCCCTGGAGACAAAACCAATATTATGATTTGTCTGTAAGAAACTTTTTCCCCTGACTTATTTTTTGATAAAATGATTATGCAGGTGTGATAAAAATCTCAACACAGTAGTTCGTAGTTGTTTTTTCGTTGTTATGAAATAATTCGCTCATGCCTAAAATAATGCACAATGTGACAACTGAGATCTTTCTTCTCCAGTCAAACTGGAAAGTCGCCACTATGACCTTACAAAAATAATACAAAAACAAATTGTTTAAAACACATTGAACCAGGTCAGTTGTAAAGTTTTTTAGTTACTGCAATAACCATTATGTTAACATATCAAATTTAAAGCTGAATTGTTACTTTACCGATAAATCCATGAACATTTTAGATAAAAGAAAATATAAAACAGTCTTTGTTCTAGTATTTAAAACATGAAGAAATGATATCATTAACATTAGAAATATTGATGCATCGCAGAAGGTGCCAACACCTGCCACTTGTGATACAAATAATCTTTGAAACTTTCTGTAGCAATGCGACACAAATTGTTGTTATTGTATAAGTCGAACACGTTAACGTTTAAGTTAATATGTCGTACCATTATGACATAATGGGTTGTTTAATTTTTTTCAATTTTTACATTTGCATTTTTATTACAATATTGAAGAATAAAAGTGGTGAAAGACACGTGAATCCGAAAAGCGTAGTGCTTAAATATTTCAGATTATAAAGATCTCAGGTTATGGACATTTTTTTAGAGTTCAAATCAGCAATTGTGCACATTTCTTGAGTATGTGTT